TATTTATCGATTTTTTCTGTACGTTTAACTTTTACGGCGGAACCCTGTGCACACACAAACTGTTTCGGCTACTGTTCTGTGAGCATGTCTCTGAAGATGAATCCACGATGGATATCGAAACGACAGGCAAATAAACACAGTGGCCCAGCGATCGAGTTGTCTTCTACTTCTCGCTTAAGTTATCTAATGTGGTTTTTGTAGGCAGCCGGCGTCATGGCGTGAACGGACTATCTTCAAGAGTACACCCCGCCTCCCCTTAATTAAACCTTTCTAAGTGACAGTTACTTCCAGAATTTCGAGTAACATCTAATACGTATGCTTTATATGATCATAAGAGTTCACGCTATCGTGGTAAGACAGGATGGGCGGGCAGTGGATTCACCACTAGAACAGCCTAGGTACTCACCAGTCGGTGGTTGCGAGGACGTCGTGGTATCTCGACGGTGTCCACGCGGAGATGACATCCTCGCTGGCGAGGTGATATTTGGTGGTGGCGTGTCAATATCGCTACTCGGGGCGACCGACTCATCTTCATCGCTCCAGGTGACCTTGAACTCTTCCTCTTTTGGGGCACTGACAGGGGCAGTAAAGAATAAGCCCAGGGCATCCTCCTCCTCCTCGGCTTTCTTTTCATCCCTAAAGGGCGACAATGCAGAGGTTACTAAGACCGACACACAATATATGCCGCCTAACAATGTACCTTAGCAGAGGACAGACTGATAGCAGGAAATAGGCTTTGTAGCAGGAAACATGAACTACTTACTTGATTTCAATAGACCTTAAGTCCGGCGGGCATTTAATGGTGGGAGTGCAGTGAACCGGCTTTACGTTGCTACGTCGAAAACGCCTCACCTTTTCAACCATCCACGTTTTTTAAATATTTTTATGCATTTTTGCACAACAAAGCGACTTCTCACAAAGTTTTCATATTGCCTACATTTTGCGCACTTCTGTACTGTTTCAATTGAGTTTTTAAGGGCTTCCGTCATCTACTCCAAATATACTGACTGATTCTGACTGGCAGTGGCAATGTGACAGAGTTACTTCTAGTAGAGCGTTATTTGCAGCAATCACGAACTTCTAAGCTGGGGGTCGGTGTGTGGGGTTCTAGAGTAGTGTTTGTGTCTTCCAGTCTATGGTGTGTACCGTCTAAGTTCTTGGAGCACTACAATCACCAGGCCGTGCTAGTTACTACTACTAGTAGTAGTAGTAGTAGTAGTAGTAGTAGTAGTAGTA